GGTCAAACACTTGGTAAAACCATATTATATTAAGGGTTCCAAAGCGACCGACATGTATGGAAAATGCCTTGTTCCACAAGAAGGATTTCCAACGCGTTTGCAGGAACAGGATCCAAGTACATTGATGTGTGCCAACAAACAACTCAAAAATGCAAACGCAATCCCATGTTTGAAGCTTGGATCGCTCAAGTTAACCAAGCCTTTTTTTCACAACTCAGCAACGATTGCCTCCAGTTTGGGGCGCAGACCTAGTAGCCACCTCTGAAGTGACCGTCCTGTAGTTTGGAGACGGTGTGTCCGTCGCTTTATTGTCATCCATCGTTTTACAGAGTCTTCGCCCATCCATGTGCTTAGATGGTGAAAGTTCAAAGCTGAAGGTCTGCCAGATTCAAGGAAAAGATGATGTAAGAGGTGAAATTTGGGCCTGATTTTCCATAGGCGGTCACCTTGATCGAGGGAATCAGACGCCAACTGCAAGTAGCTCCGAATCAGAAGATTTCCAACTGTCTGTACTAGTTCCTGTTGGTGAGGTGTCAAAAACATACCTGCATTTGCCAGCAATCCAAAAACATTATTCGATGCCCAAATGACCGTTCGTAGAAGATGTGGAACTTCAGCCCGCCCACCCTGATCCATTTCAAATTCCAGCCATTTGAGACGGACAAATGTATCATATCCTTTGCAGTGCGCTTCTGGGTACCCATGGGATCTCCAGTTTAAGTTCACCTTGCTCAAGCGTTTCAAGCGAAGAGGCAAACGGTGTTGTTTCGCATAGGACCGCATTGACACGGATGCTGATGCCAGCTGCTGGTCTAAGTTGTTCCCACGCCAAACCCGTAGCCGTGCCAGAACACGGATTGCACTTGCAACCAAATCTCGCCCTGTACCAAGATGAAATATGTGTAGGATGTCCAATCCCAACATCTTCAGATTAAAACCTGGGGGTTTACTCAGTGATGGTTCCTCATCCCATGGGAGGGTCGTATAAATTGTGTCACGCCATGGTGCATCATCTGCACAATTGGTGTAGGCCATTTCAACATCGTGCGTCCCTTTAGTGGCTCCACATTTCCAACAGACCTGATGGGGATTTGAACTTTGGCAACGCATACATATATATAATTATATATATCTCTCTCTCTCAAAATTAGATAAACACCACTTTTTCAGACTAATATTTTGACAAACAGCATAGACCATGGTTTGACATTCCCAATTCTTAACAGCATGTACCATCACAAATCTGTTAACATGCAGTGGGAGGGAGCACCTCCATTTGTCCAAAACACCAGCCTCCTCTTTTGTAGTATAGCGGTTTAACGAAAAGAGTTGCCATATGTATTTCCAGTCGCCCTTGAAATTCAGGCAGAAAACATCGAACTCCATAACCTTGGATGTGCCCAAATCATGAACCGAACATGCCATGCAAGCAGCCCAAAAAGCCCAGACCCCAGCCCGCAGTTGAGATCATATATAAGGTGGGTTTAATTGGGAAAAAAACGAAATATGTTCCAATTTGAAAACAGGGTGCTGGTTGACCTTCTGGATCATTTGCATGGAGCTTCAAACCAGTCAGTGCATTGCAAATGTGTTGCCCTGCACTTTGCAGAGTTAATTTTGACCTCGCCATCATAGACGTAGTGGGAACTAGGAATGGTTGTGATCAAAAAATGGCTCGATGCAGCGTCTGAAGCTCGTGGCGCCAATTCAGGTTGCCAGTGGAAGCACATGTAGTTGCCACCAAACGCTTGGCCCTCATCACCTGGATTAATGCAGGGACTTATTGCCCCAAAAATTGGATAATATTGCACTTTTGGGGTATAGGTAAATTTGCTAAACTTACATATGATAAAATTTGATGGAAGGTAATGGCAAGTGGCCATACAACATGATTGGGATCGATCCCATTGGGTTCGCAGCTGCAGGATGATCGGGGTACTCTTGAAGCATATGGGCCCAATAGTCACCCAACTTGCTCAGGTCCACAAGGACATCAAGAAATCCTTCATCCAGCAATATTTGGGCCTCAAGATCATACTTGTGACTTGGGACTCAATTAATTTGATTTGAGACCCCAAAACAAAACACACAGATCAAGTTAAGTGAGTGGCCAAACAACTCAGCCCCAAGCCATGTTGCTCGGAAGAAGAAACGGCCAGGGTTTCATCTCAATCAGTGGTGTGCCATCATCACCATGCCCAGTGAACACAGGCAAATCCAGGTAGTGTAGATCGCATCCCATAGCCAGGCCAGTACGTTTGGCAGCATTGTTCATTGCAGACTCCGAAGTTTGAGTGGGACTCAGTTTGCGCACATATAAATTTGGCTTTGCATGTTTTTTGCAATTTCGGTTTTGACTGGCCACCAAGACAGTGTCAAAAAGATGGATTCGAAGTCTAAATGCTGTCAAGGGTCTTGTTGAAATTTTCGGAAGCACATAAATCACCAACTGCACGGGCATGCTTGGCTGTAGAATTCCCAGACCCAATACCAGAGGCCAGCCTCAGGCAAAATCTATGGCAAATAAATCTAATTAGTTGACAGAGTAGCCACACACTGCATGCGCACACATGCCAACCTCAGGCCAAGAAGCAATCGGTCCAACTCCCCAGCGGGGTTCTGAGAACTTCCAGGTGGCAGGGCACCTGCGAGGGTAATCAGATACCATGCATGCAGGGTCTTGCAAAGATAAGTGACGCACATGAGATTCGTCAGGCATTGCATGGCATATTGCATACAGCTGCAGGTATCATTTTTCTCTCACTTGATGTTGGTTTGATGTCGCATGGTGATTCCACACTTGCGGCACGCTCGCTTTGCCAACCAAATCAGACATTATTGAAATTTGAAATTGAAGTTCCGGAAAAGAATTTTGACTCGGGCCTAAGGCAAAGCATCTCAGAGCTCTAGATTCTAGATATCTAACGGTCGGTCTTTCATCCAAGTCACCAGCATGACAAGATTTGATTGGCTAGTCCACTCAGTGCCATCCCTGCCACAACCCCACATGAGATTCACATGGAACAACTTTTTTGGTTTCAACAGGCTTGCAAAATGGAAAATGTTTATATATACTATATCGATATGAACCTACCTCTATTATATAATAAATATAATATATATATATATTATATAAAAAAAGGTAAAAATAAATACAGCAAGGTTCTAAGGCACTTTCCCCTCAGGAGCTAGGTGACATCCAAAATCCAAATAGGGCAAAACCACGTGTGGTGCCCAGGCTCACGAAGCGTTTTGCTTCTTCAGCTCAGTCAAAACGGCCTTGGCCTGCGCTTTCACAAGGCGACAGCTTCTCACCTGGGCAGAGTGCATGAGGAATATCCACCATGGTGATTGCTCACAAATTTCTGATTGCACACATATGTGTTGAAACATGTACTTGATAGATATATCTAAGCCTCGGCATCGATCTCATCCTTGATATCCTTGCAGCTTGCACAAGATCGCACCCCTTTCACCCTCAGCTAATATTGAAGCATACTGATTTTGGCAAATTCCAAGAACTCATCCATATACTCTTCAAATCTGGTCTTGTACCCACCCAGTGTGGTTCCCAATGGATGGTTCTGCGGAAGCTCAATGAACACCGAAGTGACATTCGAAAGCTCTTTTTTCAGAGCACCACCTCGGTCAAGAAGCTTTGAAATTGTGTCCCATATATGAATGGGCGGATGCAGCACACAGATAACTGGATTGAATTTTGCCATCCAGGTAATTGAGATCATGACTCATCTCAGCCTTCATTTCATCCACAGTCTTTTGGCCAGCCTCTGTGACACCAGCTCCAGCATGGGAGGCCGCTTTGGCCTTCGCCTTTACCTTGGCTTTCGCCTTGGCCTTGGGAGCTCCGGCGGCAGTTCCTGCAGATCAAGCCACCCAAGAAGAAAATAGGGGTTACATATGTATATATGGGGTTATCTATTTTTGGGTTGTTTGATAGAGATACTAAGTATTGTGATATTGATAGGTTTGAAATATACACAGCAAATATATATATATATATATCTATCTACCTATCTATCTATCTACCTATCTATCTACCTATCTATCTATCTATCTATCTACCTATCTATCTATCTACCTATCTATCTACCTACCTATCTATGTATCTATCTATCCATCTATCTATCTATCTATCTATCTATCTATCTATTTATCTAGCTATCTATCTATCCAAAAAATATACATATTTATATTTTAAAATATACATATAAATGTATAAGTATTTACATATATAAATAAATATATATATATATACACACATATATATATACATATATACATATAAAACACGCACACACACATATATATATTTATTTAATATATTTACATATAAACACATGTTCATATTATATATATATGTTGCATGCACACGTAACATGACTATGAAGCAGCACCTGTCGGTTTGTGGGCAAAAAAAGGTCAGAATGAAAAATGGAGCCACAGTCCTGGCTCATCAGTAGTAGCTGGCTGCAAACTTTGGAGAATTTGCTGCATACCATTTGCTCCAATCGCGCGCGCGCACGAAGAGCGGGGAGCTGCAAAAGTTGCTGCAATGGCACTCGAAGGGTCTGCCTCCGCGTGCCACGATGGCACGGATCTTCTCGAGGGGCATGTCCCGCTTCAGCATCTCCTGCGTTGTAAGGAGTGCTCTGGTCGACCTGTGCTTGGGCATTTGCATTTGATGCAACCCACTGCTGCAGCAGCTGCTTTCGATCCTGAGTGCAAAAGCTTTTAAAAAAGCATCCCAAATATAACAGTTGTCCAAAACCTAAAAGTAGACCAAAAAAGGAGACCAAAAAAAGGTACCATTAACAGATAGCCAGGCACCGCAGAAGAACCAGACCACAGCTGTTGCATGTGGGGGAACCGTTTGCCTGCACTCGAATCTTCCATGAGACGTTTGAGTCTCATACCTTCTTTCTGTGCGTGCTCCAGTTGCACACAGCTGGCACCACGCCCTGCGGCGCATGCGCCCTCGCCTCATGTGCTCTCTTAAGCTCCTCTTGGCTCTGAATCTGGAGCCTCGCATCATGATTCTTCAAAAGCGCCTCCAACCCTGCAAGCTCCAAGGTCCGATCAGGGGGCCCTTCAGGTGCCGTGGCAGGGGCTGGAGCTGCTTCTGCCTCAGGCACTGTTGCTCCTCCTTCTGGCATGGTAGCTGCATTCCCTGGTTCAACAGCAACTGCTGTGCCAAGGCACTAGCTCCAGCAACCACTGTCTCTGGACCATCAGCTGGATCAGCAACCGCTTTCTTTGATGCAGCACCATCAGCTGAATCAGGAGGTCCATGCACGATCACATTGCCAAGAGCTTTCGAGTTCTCAAGGGATTTGGCAGTAGCAGCAAGTGACTCCACAGAAGGCTGTGATGGCTGAGATCCTTCAGGAGATCCATCAGGCAAAGGACCTTTGGGTTCTGGAACTTCCTGCGGTGCTTCCACTGGTGGGAAGGCCATCTCAGAAGGTTCAGCTGGGCTTTGCGTCACCCCCTCTTGGTTGTCCGGATATTCCTGCCAGGGTTTCAAGACAGCAGTTCTTTAATGTAATAGTATACACATACATACATATATATATATATTACATATGCATATGCATACATATATACATATATGGTTTCGTATTGAACGTATGTAGACTACATGTTGTATAAAAAATCCAACACAAGTAAATATATGAATATATATATATATACATGATCAAAAGATATAAATAGAATATGTATATATATATACACATATATATATATATATTTATACACATATACATATATATATAGATATACATATCCCGCTGGGTGCGGAATCGCGCGTGTAGGCGCATCACCATGGTAAAAAAAATGACAACCATTTCAGTGTTTCGTAGCCGTCTCAAAGTAAAACTCTTTAAACAAAAAGGTCATTTTTCTTGCGTTTGGCAACCTTTCCACACGAAATCCGACCTTTTTTTGCCTTGCCAGTTTCAGTGATCATTGTGCATGTAGACCTGTGCTGTTTTTTTCAACAGGTCAGGACACAACGCGTTTTCCCATCTCCATTGCTAGGATCGAATGTATTGATCGATCCTGACATTGAAACCGTCAGCCGTTTTGGTACCGACTGAGGACGGGACTGCTGCCTTACACAACTTCCAAGCTGAGTCAATGCCACCCGTGTGCACGGACAGCTTTTGTCCATGGAGGCGAGACTGAACCACGAATTGTCCCTTGCTGTGACAGCAAGCTCTATGCAAAAGCTTCATGCGGGGGCACAACTTCAAATAGGCCGGAGCCCCATCAGAAATCAAACAGGTTCTTCCAAAGCCAGGCTTCAAGGTCTGCACCTGACTTGCAAACTCTGTTTTTGTGATTCTGTCGAAACTCTCCGGCGGGGGCTCTGTCCGCATCCTTCAAGCGGTACAGGTTGATCTTGCGTGTGCCACGCTGCAGCGCACCAAAGTACTGCATGTACCGCAACGTTGTCGTCCCAGGAAGCACAAACTTTCTGAAGCTCGTATACCGTCCACCTCGAGCAATCCTGAGAGGGTTCGCTTCTGTTGTGTCCTCTGGGCACACAGAGCTTCTGCACTCAAGAGGACTCGCCCCAGTTTTCGAGCCGCGCTGTTGGCTTGACCTGAAACTTTCATCCTGCGAGCAATTTCTTCGCTGGAAGGCCTGTGGCTGGCCGCAAACCAGTGCTGCAAGAACGACCAGTAGTGGACAATGGGCCATCGCAAACACGGCAAAGCGCTAAAGCTCATGACGTCTTTGTAACCTGAAAACGAAGAACGCGGCACAGGGGCCCAATGGTTCAGTCATTGTGAGAATGATGAGGACAACGATTTTCTATGGTGCAATGAATGGTGACATAAATCTTTTAATGTGTACATCATTGCTACGCCCTTTGATTGATTCCAGATCAGTATGTTTGACCAGATATGTATGTTTACCAGATATGTATGTTGACCCATGCTCATTCCAAATATTGGCAGCAATTACACATGTCTATAGTGAAGCAAGAAACCTTCGCAGTCCTGGCAACGGACAAACAGGCGACCATGCCCCCGTTGCATGCTCGTCTTCCAGGAGACCCGCGAGAAAGTACCTCCACATGGGCATTTTCCCGGCTTCCAGACCCACTTCGAAGACAAAAGGTTCTTGTAAGCCATGCGCGAAGAACTATTCTGAACTACGTCGTTGCTGGTGCTCATTTTTTGGCTCGTGGCCTGCGATCTTTCTCTCTCTTTTTGTTCCGCCTGGCAGCCTTGCTAGACTTCTGGGATTTTCGGGAAGTGACCTTGAAGGCTTCGGAGAAACCTCGCTTGCCAGAGGCCTTCTTCAACGTTCTGCGATTTTTGCCTAGCTTTTGCAACCGCAGAGCGTCACCGGAACGAAGGTGCTGCTCCAACTTCTTCAAGTTGGTTGTCTTGGCTAAGGCTTTCAGAGCGGCTGCTGCGAGCTTGGGGCAAGTGGACGTGTAGTGTCCCTTGCCACCACAGTGGGTACATCGAGGCTTCGCCTTCGTTCCCCTGCACACCATGGTGGAGACGAGCGCTGTGCGCTCTCAAAACCAAAAGTACGCACACTTGCCAACCATGTCTAGAGCCGCAGTCTTGCTGAGATGCACACTACCCGCAAAAAAAAAGGAGTTTGCTGGCCAATACGTACCGTTATGGCATGGCAACATATTTCACAGCGGACCCAAGCACCCATTCCATGTTCAACTTTCACTTGTACACCAAGTTGTTTCTAAATGAGAACAACGAAGTCCGCACCTTTTTTTTGACCACAACAGCGCAGACTGAATGCATCACTCCAAGTCCTGCTTCTGCACACTCAAGAAATGGAAGAAGTGGGTCCATCTTGGCGACTGTTTCTGGCCAAACTCAAGCGAAGGTCAGAGTACTTTCTTTTCATGACAAAGGACAGCTCTTCGAAGCGTGACATGGGGAATGGTTCTTGATACCAGCAAAGACGACCGTTGGCCGGACCATCACGCCACCAGTTGCTGCAGTACAACACCAAATCGCCGGCTTTACGAGCAGACACTCCCATGATGTGCGGTTGCAAGCTACGACCTCGACATTTTGCACACTACCCCCACTTGAACTGACGATCCAAACGCTGTCGTAGAGACTCAGGAGACACGGCTGGTGGAGGACTGGAAGACGAAGCACTGGAGCTTTGTACCACTTCCGAGCGAGACAACAACTCCTGAAGCCATTCTTCCTCACCTTGCAAGATGCGGGCGATCTCCGGGTGCTGAGCATTGATAGGGTGATACATGTCCTGCAGAGGCACACCAGCACCGACAAAACAAGAATGATTGCACAATTGTTATTTGAACAGAAATGGCCAGTCCAGTTTCTATTAAGAGTATCAGCCCCATACAGTCCTTTATTGTCAAACCACGAGCTCTAGCAACAGTTTCTTTCCAACGCAGATGCGGAGGAGACTCCGAGCCACGGATCGGACTCGAGCGAGACAACAACTCCTGAAGCCATTCTTCCTCACCCTGCAAGATGCGGGCGATCTCCGGGTGCTGAGCATTGATAGGGTGATACATGTCCTGCGGAGGCACACCAGCACCGACAAAACAAGAATGATTGCACAATTGTTTTTTGAACACAAATGGCCAGTCCAGTTTCTATTAAGAGTATCAGCCCCATACAGTCCTTTATTGTCAAACCACGAGCTCTAGCAACAGTTTCTTTCCAACGCAGATGTGGAGGAGACTCCGAGCCACGGTTCGGACTCCACTCATCCATGGAGTCTTCCCCGACTTGAACAGGCTGCATCACATGGTCTGGAGACCTCAGGTCACGGAAGGTTGGTCCGATGAACGTGGAACACAGTTCAATATTGTGAAATTTCCCAAATTGTCTTCAGTAAAAAATGCTCACGATCCATATCATGGACAATATTAATGCGTGTGAGTCTAGACACTTTTCGCAATCTCCCGGGTCCACAGCCGCATTGACAGGGAAGGTGTCTTCATCATCACTAAGCAAATCCACCATGGGTATGCGCAGTGAAGACAACTTTGGACTGTCCAACACCTGACTGTAAGCTGTCATATTCAATGAGAAGCAAACCACTTGAAAGAAAAACATCAAAACTTCAAAAGATGTGAAAACAAGAAACCGGAATGCTGGGAACACTGCGTTGCGGAGTCGCAGGAGTAACGCCGGGAGTGGTCGAAGAAGAAGAAAATGATGTGGACACCTGCACCATGTCCGTATGTGCCCGACATTCTGGGAAACAAGTTTCAGCATCACGATCTTCTCTGGCCATTGCTCCTATCCTGAGTGGCCAGCATGTTTGCAAGTTCTCCCCCCCAAAAAAGTCGAAATCGAAAAAGAATATCCTTCCCCAAAAAATGCAATGACAAGTCTCTCTCCGGCCAATCCGCGGCCACCGCCCGCAAGAGTTGCTGCACTGACGCAGCAACGTCAACATCATGGCCATGCCACGGTCTCTGACGACGAAACAAAGTAGCCGCATTTGCACACAAGGCAGCATTGGGATTTGGATGCCTCCTATGATGTCGCACCAAACAATCTTGCAACGCAAGCCAACCATTCTCCAAAGCACGCCAATCATAGCCAGAGTAAGCCAGCATAGCATGCTGGACTGCGTCCATGCCGGCATCTGCGCCAGTCGGCAGAACAAAAATTTCATGTAACTCAAACAGCTCTTCTGGCGGTATCAGCTGCCAAGCTGCTACCACAGGCGGCAAACGAACACCAGCTGCATGCAACAGCAGCAACAACGCTGAGGCGCCCGCAACCGAGTACGCCATACTGCTACAGAAAAAAAAGGTATATTGACATACCTACGGAACCATTAGCGAATCATCACACGCTCGTCTATCTCGTATATATTCGACATTTGCCGACATGAAATAACATATATATATATATTAAAAATATCTATTCTCATGTATGTCGTACAAACAAAAGTCAACATATATATATACATGTATAACTCCTGAATACTCTCGACATTCTCGTACAAACCCTGGCTGTGCTGCGGCCACACAAAACTCTGCTGACCAGAAGACGTGGAACAGCGCCATCGGTCGCTGGCAACATTCCACAAAACCGGAACCAATGCATTAATAAAGATATTACAAGGCACCATGGACATCAACATCTCCCACACAATGCAACGGCCAATCTCCCTGCATGCCACGACCCTGCGTCTGCAGCTGAGGCTTCGCACCTCGCCGCCAATGGAACGGATTTCCACACATGTTTCTTATATGTGTGGGGTAAAACATGGATCCATGGATCTATCATTGACTAGTGATTTGGAGACTTATTAACCTCACGATATGAAAGACCACTATCATACCAAGCATATCCAGTAATGACCAACATATGAAATTATAGGGTGATTATTATCACCATGGTGATGAACTTTATCATTACCGTTGTCAAAGACAGTATCAACAGAAGTATGACAACCATTACACTCCTCAAAACCAGTAACGTGAACACACGATATATGTTAACATCCCCACCCCACCCCATGCTCAGCGTAGCATCAGTAACGTGTTCAACTTCAAACGAACGTTAACATCCCCACCCCACCCCACCCCACCCCATGCTCAGCGTAGCATCAATGGCGTGTTCAACTTCAAACGAACGTTAACATCCCCACCCCACCCCATGCTCAGCGTAGCATCAGTGCGTGTTCAACTTTCAACACGAACGTTCATCCCACCACCCACCCCACCCCACATACCACCCCAGCCCCCCCGCGTTGCCAGTTACGTGAGCCATAAGAGTGCAACATGGTGTGTAAGCTCAAAAACATGATGTGAAATTGGGAATGTTGAAAATGTGTGTCACTACACGTACGGTTTTGCACCCGTTAGCATATATATATGTATATACATATATATATATGTATATATATATATATGTATATACATATATATATACATTTATATATGTATATATGTATATATATAAATATTATATATATATATATGTATATATAACACCACAAGTTCTATAAAACCACCCCCGCATACCAGTAGTACCCGCACGAGGCGGGGCGGAAGTTGCCTTAAAAATATATATAAGGCCTTTCTCATCTATAGAACTTGCATGCGCCGTGCGCCAGCCAAGCCGTGCGTGCGTGCACTCTGCGAAAGTGGTGTCCTCTTTCACATGTCACATTTGAAGCTCCACTTCGCACTTCACTCTCCACACTTCACACTTCCCACTGCACTCTTCCCACTTCACACTCCACACTTCACGCTTCACAGTCCACACTTCACACTTCACACTTGAAAACTTCACAGTCCACACTTCACACTTCTCACTGCTTTTTTCACATTCCACATTCCACACTTCACACTGCACTCTTCACGCCCCACACTTCACACTGCACTCTTCACACGCCACACTTTATCTCATTTGAGCTCTTCTCACCTTATCCCATCTCATTTCTTCTCATCTCATCATCTCTTCTCATATGTCATGCAAGCTTTCATGAATCACTTCCCAGTACTACTACTAAGGAACTTGCATGGGCCGTGCGCCAGCCAGGCCCGTGCGTGCGTGCTTTGTGCGAAGCTGTTGCAGTGTTGCTGTCCAAGAAGATGACCTGCGCGCGACCCCGGTGCAATGCAAACACTTTCCTCACAATTCACATTGCACTCTTCACACCCCACACTCCACACTTCACACTTGCACTTCATCTCAACTCATCTCATCTGAGCTCTTCTCATCTCATTCCATGTCTTCCCATATGTCAGCTAAGTTCTTCTTGGCTATTTTTATTTCAAGCACTTCCCAGTACTGATGTCTACTACAAAAGCTTGCAAAAACCACTTCCCAGTACTACTTTGTACTACAAAGCTTGCACAAAACACTTCCCAGTACTACTTTGTACTACAAAGCTTGCACAAACTACTTCCTAGTACTACTTTGTACTACAAAGCTTGCACAAAACACGTTCCAGTACTACAAAGCTTCTACATACATCAAGTTCTTTCGCAGAGAAGCTTTTACACACAGCAAGCTTTTCAAGCAAAGAAGCTTTTACACACAGAAGCTTTTACACACAACAAGCTTCTTCACAGAGAAGCTTTCACACACAGCAAGCGTTTACACACAGAACACTTACACACAGTGCTTTTACACATGGCAAGCGTTTACACACAGAAACTTTTGCACAGAGACGCTTTTACACACAGAGAGGCTTTTACACACAGCAAGCTTTTACACACACAATCTTTTTCACACAGCAAGCTTTCAAACACAGCAAGCGTTTACACACGGAACACTTACACACAGTGCTTTTACACATGGCAAGCGTTTACACACACAGCAAGCTTTTTAAACAGAGAAGCTTTTACACACAACAAGCTTTTACACAGAGAAGCTTTACACAGCAAGCTTTCACACACAGCAAGCTTCTTCACAGAGAAGCTTTTACACACAGCAAGCTTTCACACACAGCAAGCGTTTACACACAGGACACTTACACACAGTGCTTTTACACATGGCAAGCGTTTACACAAAAATATTTTTCACACAGCAAGCTTTCAAACACAGCAAGCGTTTACACACAGAACACTTAAACACAGTGCTTTTACACATGGCAAGCGTTTGCACACACAGCAAGCTTTTTAAACAGAGAAGCTTTTACACACAACAAGCTTCTTCACAGAGAAGCTTTACACAGCAAGCTTTCACACACAGCAAGCTTCTTCACAGAGAAGCTTTTACACACAGCAAGCGTTTACACACAGAACACTTACACACAGTGCTTTTACACGTGGCAAGCGTTTACACGCACAGCAAGCTTTTTAAACAGAGAAGCTTTTACACACAACAAGCTTTTACACAGAGAAGCTTTTACACACAGCAAGCTTTCACACACAGCAAGCGTTTACACACAGAACACTTACGCACAGTGCTTTTACACATGGCAAGCGTTTACACACACAGAAACTTTTACACAGAGACGCTTTTACACACAGAAGCTTTTACACACAGCAAGCTTTTACAGAAAAAGTTTTTGCACAGAGAAGCTTTCTTGTACATAATCACAACAGGAATTGCAGCTCCAAAACTGGATCTCGACGCCAAAGCGACAAAAAGACGATTTTGAAGCACTTTTTAAAAGGAATTTTAAAAGGAAAATTATTAGCGCCGAAATTGAGAAAATCTGCTGACAAATCACTTTCGCAGCCTTGATGCAGCCATTCCAATACGATTTACGATCTTCAGCTGCAAAAGACAATAGTATTACGCATGCAGCCGCTGCACCAAGCAACCTTGACGCAGCCACCACAATGCGATCTGCAGAGACTGAGTTGCAAAACACAATAGAACTAGGCGCAAGGGCGTTGGCAATTGCAGCTCCAAAACCGGATCTCGACGCCAAAGCGACAAAAAGACGATTTTGAAGCACTTTCTAAAAGGAATTTTAAAAGGACAATTATTAGCGCCAAAATTGCGAAAATCTGCTGACAAATCACTTTCGCAGCCTTGATGCAGCCGTTCCAATACGATTTACGATCTTCAGCTGCAAAAGACTATTACGCATGCAGCCGCTGCACCAAGCAACCTTGACGCAGCCACTACAATGCGATCTGCAGAGACTGAGTTGCAAAACACAATAGAATTACGTGCAATGGCGTCGGAAATTGCAGCTCCAAAACCGGATCTCGACGCCAAAGCGACAAAAAGACGATTTTGAAGCACTTTCTAAAAGGAATTTTAAAAGGAAAATTATTAGCGCCAAAATTGAGAAAATCTGCTGACAAATCACTTTCGCAGCCTTGATGCGCCCATTCCAATACGATTTACGATCTTCAGCTGCAAAAGACTATTACGCATGCAGCCGCAGCACCGAGCAACCTTGACGCAGCCACTACAATGCGTTTCGCAGCATCCCATAGCAAACCTGCACCTATCTACGGACGTGGCAACACCAAATGACAACAATCATGCAGCCATTCCAATGCGATCTGCCACCACAGCTTCAAGAAACGCATAGAACTACGCACACAGGAACAACCACTCGTTGCAAAACACATAGGAGGAACAATTCGCGACAGAAAAGACCGCAGCCGCACCCGCCGCACACACGAGGTACCTTTCATCGCCGGCTCCAGCCACTTTACACGGAAAAACACAAGGTTTCGTGCTCCGGCTTCCTCCCCACAACATAGCCCATGCAACATTCATGCAGCCATTACACTGCGTTTCGCAGCATCCCGTAGCAAACCTGCACCTATCTACGGAAGTGGCAACACCAAATGACAACAATCATGCAGCCATTCCAATGCGATCTGCCACCACAGCTTCAAGAAACGCATAGAACTACGCACACAGGAACAACCACTCGTTGCAAAACACATAGGA